ACATCGGCCCTTGTCTCTGTTCCAATTCTTCCTCCCCCTTGATGTTCCTACTTACATTTATCTTCAGGGTCCACACAAGCCCATGTCATGGAATTGGTTGTGCTAGAGACACGAAGGGACCCAGTGGCAAAGCAGAAACAACATTGACATCCTTCCTGTTACCAATGTCCCCCTTGGCTGTGTCCAGAGTGTGACTTAGATGTGAATCACTAAGTCTCCATTTGACTTCTGCTGCAGGCTTCTTGTTCCACATATCTCTTTGTATTTTCATTCTAAATCTGAAGTTGTGTTATATTCTGGAATTTCAGAGGCCTAGGTTTAATGCTTAGTTTTGCCACACTCTTAACTATATGACTTTAGTTAAGTGGTTTACAATCTGTGCCCCACCAATGTCCTGTGTGCTGCACAGCATGGACGGTAGAGATCTATTTGACAAAATTTTTGGTTCTGTGTTCCTCCATTGCTCTAAATTTAAGTTCAAGACTATTTCCAGACTTTGAGAGTCACTGGTTTCCAAGTCTATTTTGAACTTGGCCTTCTCCTGAGGATGTATCTTGTCTGCATAGGCCATCTTGGTCACAGTTATCCTGGTGCAAGCAATTTGCCTTTCAGCCATAACTGGGAAGGGGGCATAACCCAATGTTTAATTCCCCTGTGGAAACTGAGTATCATGTGCCAGGACAGATTTCTAATTTTTATTTTTTGAGTTGAATTCTCACTCCGTCGCCTAGGCTGGAATGCAGTGGAACACTCACGGTCACACCAGCATCGACCTGCTGGGCTCATGTGATCCTTCTGCCTCAGCCTTCCAAGTAGCTGGAATTACAGGCATGTGCTATCACGCCCTGCTAATTTTTGGTTTATTGTAGACATGAGGTCTCATCAAGTTGCCTGGGCTGTTCTCGAACCCGTGGGCTCAGGCAATCCTCTCACTTCAGCCTCCCAAGGTGCTGGAATTACAGGCTTGAGCCACCATGCCTTGTCCAGGACAGATTTAATAAGCTTGGCACCTGAGTCAGAGGAGTCATATAGATGTACAAATGTGGGACCCTCCTGTGGAGAACATATTTTCTTCTGTGGTTGCTGCTTTATTTCGAGATGTGCTCCATGACCATGCACAGGCAGTGGGTACAACAATTAAACTTCCCCTATGTGAAATGGTGCCCATTGCAGCGGACCACACATAAGCCCACAGTTGCAGTTTATTCCCACACCTGAGCTCCTCTAAGTTGTTCAACATCCCAAGGCTCCTGGGAGAGGCAATGAACATTCACATAACCACCTGGTAGTTCCCAATCACCACGAGTGAACATCCAAGTTTATTCCTTATCTGTTCAAAAGGAAAACCTAGGTTGTGTCATCATGAAACCGCTAAAGGAAAGAAAGAAACTGAATACCCTTGATTCAGCAAATCATTTCTGAAAGTTGTGGACAGGCCGCTAATAGCAAAAGGTTTTCTCTTTCTGGGTTCTTACCTGCCACTGCTTGTTCCTGAAATGATCAATTCATGGTTATTTTTATTTCCCACTGTCCAACATTTAATTAGCAAAAAAAAAAAAAAAAAAAAAAAGGTATGATATTAACAAAGAAAAAACGTATGCAACAACAAGAGAGAGACTTGGAGGTCTGGGACTGCAAGACAGAATCAGATTCCTTAAAAAGAGTGAAGACAAAAAGTTGTAGGGCCCCTGAAGATGGGTAGGACAGGGCAGGATAACAGCATCCAAGGCAAGAGCAGACAAAATTAAGGAAACTTGACAGTAGGACCTTGAAAGCGTTCCCAAGTCCATGTGCTCCGGTCGGCCCCTGCACATGCCTGGATGCTAGTTTCCTAGAACTCAGAGCACACAGGGCCCTGTGGGAACCAAGAGCACAACTCTCGAGAAGTTTGGAGGGGAAAGCAGTGGCCCATCATGGGTGGCCTTGGTTAGCCATGATTTGAGGGTGGCTTCAGGCTTAGCACCCACCCGCGTGCTGCTGTGCCACGGCATTTTCCTGGGATGATCAGGGCTGATCGTCACAAGAATGACATGCCAGAGGTTGGGTCAGAGATGGCTATAGCACAGGGGCCCCTTCAAAGGCATTTCCATGAGATATATCAGTGTTGTTTTGATAGGTCAAGAGAGTTCAAAGCCTTTGATGTTAGAATCTATAAATTTTACATCTTGGGACCTCTTCATGATGGTTTTTTTCTTTCGAGTTGGAGTCTTATTCTGTCGCCCAGACTGGAGTGCAGTGACCGCTCCTGGCCATCGCAGCCTCGACCTGCTAGGCTCAGGCAATTCTTCTGCCTCAGCCTTCCAAGTAGCTGGAACTACAGGCACACGCGACTACTCCCAGCTAATTTCTGATTTATTGTAGAGTTGAGGTCTCACCAAGTTGCCCAGGCAGGTCTCGAACCTGCGGGCTCAGGCAATCCACTCACCTCAGCCTCCCAAAGTGAAGGATTACAGGCTGAGCCACCAAGCTCGGCTCTTCATGATGTTAATGCAAATACAGCACATTTAATTTTCTTTCTTTCTTTTTAAAAATAGAAACAGGATCATGCCCTATTGCCCAGGCTGCTCTCAACTTCCTGGACTCAAGCAATCCTTCTACCTCAGTCTCCTAAAAGTGCTGGGATTATAGGTGTGAGCCACTGTGCCCAGCCAATACAGTACATTTTGAGAATTTAGATGGATATGTTTGAGGCTTCCAAAAGTTTCCAAATTCTTGAACAATATTAAAACATAACGTTTTCTCCAAGAACATATAGTGGACTACCTACTACCTCAAATGCTAGTGATTGTCTTGGGCTTTTTTAGAGAGTGGAGTGACAAGAAGTAGAAAAATAACAAAATCTTGTTGTGATGTTCTGCAGGTTCAACTGCATGGTAAGTGAAGAGTTTCTATATCAAAGAAGATAGTATCTAAAAGCGAGCTTCTGTCAAATTAAAGATCACCACATGTCACTGACCTTCAGTGCTGTTCCAAAGTTTAAACTCTGTGAGTACCAAGGGTCTGTGATGAAGTAATGGCTCTAGCAAATGATTTTGTCCTCCAAGTGAGAAAAAAGAAACAAACGACTTCTCATGCAGGACCTCATTCTGGGAGCTGAGGACCCCTAGTGGGCTCTGTAACAACAGTTCCTTCTGAACAGTAAGTACTGTCTGGAGAATGAAGCATTCATCTCTCACACAACATTTTTCAGATGCAGGTATATGCTGTTGTGATTAATATAATACAGTTTCACTTAAAGCCCTGCAAAAGCTACAATGGCTTTTTGTTATTGCATTTTTGTTTTTCAATTAAAAGATTCCCAAAGGCTGGCGTGGTGGCTCATGCCTGTAATTCTAGCACTTTGGGAGGCCAAGGCGGGAGACTTTAAGCCTAGGAGTTTGAGATCAACCTAGGCAACATAGTGAGACTTTGTCTTTATAAAAAAAAATAAAAAATAAAAATAATCAGTCAGACGTGATGGTGGTGCATGCCTGTAGTCCTAGCTACTTGGTAGCCTGAGGCGGGAGGACACCTGAGACCAGGAGGTCAAGGCTGCAGTGAGCTGTGATCATGCCACTGCACTCTGGCCTGGGTGACCAAAAAAAAAAAAAAAATTCCCCAAATACTATCACTAATTTGAGAGAGTCAGAGGTCTTGATGTTACTCAAAAAGGTTGGGAACCTCTCTCTAGAGAATCATCTCCAGGGAAACCATGCTCTTTCTGACAAGTGGCACCCAGAAGAGTTGGACCTACTGAAAATAACAGAAATGTCCTACAGAACTCAATCTGTAGCAGAACTGCATTACTTATAAATAATGCACTTATTTTTATTGCAGTAAATTTTTCAGAAAAAGGACATTCATCTACAAATGAGCATTTGTAGACTTTGGCCAAATACCAAGTGGCACAGTCAACATAAGTAGTACTAAATGATCAAATGTGCAAATTTCTTCATGTCAGAACTAGCCATAGGAAGAAACTGCAAAGCCTATATGGGATGCCAGACATCACTTCAACCAAATTTTTGTTTGTTGTGTTTTGTAGAGATAGGATCTTGCTATGTTGTTCAGGCTGGTCTCAAATTCCTGGGCTCAAGCAATCGTCCCACCTCAGCCTCCTAAAATGCTGAGATTATAGGCATGAGCCACTGCGCCTGGTTCAACCAAATTTTTAATTCACTGTTAAAAACAAAATCCCCCCCACACACACATGCAGGAGTACTATCATGACTTGGCTCAGTGCAGTGTATTCATAAACTCTTTTATCCCTCTGAATCAAGTGCTATCATTTATTTCATTACTGAAATAGTCTCTTAGATGGCCTGATTTCTAGGGCTATTAAGCTGGAGCAGTCAGGCAAATAACATTTCTTTAATAGAAAGATAGTGATCTGTAATTGATAAATTCTTTTTTTCTTCTTACCGTTTCCTCCTTACACTTAAAACCATTTCAATCAGTATATAGAATGTTGCAGGGGGAGAGGGACAAGATTTTTCAGAAAACACTGGGTATCTTCACCCTCATTCAGATTCTCACCCTCAGTGTCAAAGGATAATTAGTGAGAAAGATAGTAAATGCCTTCCTGGCAATCAGTTAAAACCAAATAATGGGGCCAGGCACGATGGCTCATGCCTGTAATCCCAGTATTTTGGGAGGCAGAGGCAGGAGGATCACTTGAGTTCAGGAGTTTGAGACCAGCCTGGGCAATATAACATAGCAAGATCTCATCTCTATGAAACATAAAAAAAAATTAGCTAGGTGTGGTAGTGCATGCCTATAGTATCAGCTCCTTAGGAGGGTGAGGGAGAAGGATTGCTTGAGCCCAAGAATTTGAGGCTACGATGAACCGTGATCATGCCACTGCCCTCTAGCTTGGGTGACAGAGTGGGACTTGACTCAAAACAAACAAACAAAAAACTAGATAATAAATTTACACATTGATATGTTTGTAAAGATACACATACATGAACACATGAAACGCGCAAAAAATAACTTATAATTCAATCTCAGATACACAAATATACTTAAGAAAGAGAAGTTTTATTAGGGCAATTTCACTTTATTTTTCCATACAGCAAAGTCAACTACGGCAGTAATAATAAAATAAGCATAAAACAAATTGCAGCCCAAGACAAAATACATAATTTTAAGCAACTACAAGCAAAAAGTAAGTTGTGATTACATAATAGTAAAACCAAGCACATTTGTCCTTTCAGCAGATGAAAGTGGTAAGGTTGCTGATAAGTGCAACATTATTCACCAGCTGGAGTGAAGGCTGGATCCCCGAATTCATTAAACAAGTGCCTATTATCACATTTTGATTTTTGAGTGCTTCTGAGTTGAGAATTAAACCTGTGAAATTTGAACTGCATTTTCTTTTTCACCTGCTGAAAGAACAGGATCCTACAGCAATTTAAAAACAATCACATAACAACTATAGCTACGGTGTGCTGTTTGGTTTGCCTGTTTATGGTTTAAATTTTGTGAAAGTCAATACTGTTTTGAAGATTTTTTTTGTGTGTGAACAATAAACCACTGAAATTGGCAGAAACTGATTTGAATAATATATGTTCTTAGTATAGTTCTTTCTCTCTTTTTTGTTGTTGAAGTTTTAAACATGCAGTAGTTTTGAAAAATGTAAGGAATATTTGATCCATGATTTCACCTTAATGGCCGAAGTACCTGCTATTTTTGGTAATGATCTTCAGGCAGATTTGACCCAATGGAGTTTTTGTCAGTCATGAGATTTCGAAAGGATGGCATATCTTTCCAGCTGAAAAAATCCTGGCAAACTACAAGCTGTCCACAAAAAAGCAAAGCAACATGTTTGAAGGGGTATGGAGTGCTAACTCTGTGCCACTTTTGCAAGCAATTTTGCTCAGTCTGTCATTTTATTAGCCTTAACAAAACTCCTTGTAATTATAGACGTTTTTATTCAAAATAAGATCTTACTATTATACAGGTTTCTCTCTTTTGACTATATACAGAAGTGCAAAAAGTCAACCTTCTCTCTAGACGTCCCAACATGCTAAATTGCAGCATAATCAACCCTTAAGAGTTTGCACACACGCTATAATTCTCATTACGTAAACTTTGAGTATTTGGATTATCAACAAAAAGTCCCTTGTTCTATTTATTGATTATGCAGCTTATTTATAACAAGGCCTGATATTCAGGGATTTCAAAAATATTAAACAATACTTTAACATTTGAAATGGATACAGTAGAAAATAAATTTTATTCTAATATCTAGGATCTAGATCTTCTTATAATAACTAATTACAAACAAAATAAATCATCAAAATATTACTCAATTGTCTGCCAGGATTGCTGCGATAGCAACAACTTAACTTCTTACTTAGCAATGATTATATATTTATAAGATATCCATATAAAAGATCTTTGTTCTTTTAATGAAAACTAGACAAGAACTAACAATGACTGACATTCTTACATTGTAATATTAAATCAGTAAAATATAAATCATTTAGTTAACAATACGAATATTCATATGACACTACATGTAATTCAAAACTGAGTATGTTATGAAGGAAAAACTAATTTTTTTTGTATTTTGAAAAATTCATCGGTAAAATCTAATAAAACAATAGTCTATAAACTGAAATGGTATTCAATTGTTAATAGAAAATGAAAATCTAATAAATGTAGGAAATGAAAAACTACATTTTAACAAGAAAAATAAGTAATATTCTATAATGTAACTAACTACAATAACATGTGAAGTCACCATTACTTTCTTAACACGATTGAAATTACATTGGTATGGGTTCCAACCCGTAATGTAATAATCTAAGGCTTTAATAGATGTACAGTACAATCAGTAAAATCAACACATCAGTCTTATATTAGAAAGCATCTCTCTCAAGCATAAAAACTTGCAGTAAACTTGGAAGTATGGAAAGTTCTACAACTGAACTTTCACCTCTCCCATTCCACACTATAACTACCAGTGACCTGGCCCCTACTTCAGCAATTTTTAGAACTGCTGAACAGAGCAAAAATATCCTTTACTAGCTGCAACATCCAAACCTCAAAAAAGGAATTCCTTTGGATGAATCCATTCTTAAAAACTGAATGCACATCTATTTTTTTATTTTGTAAAGGCTTTCTAAGGCTATAAGCAGTTAATCTGAACAAAACAAAACAAAACAAATCACATATAAAATTCACCCATGTACTTAACCCACCCAATTACTACGTTAATTAAACATTTCCCATTTTCATATTTTGGTTTATCATGCATCTGATGACAGTGCTGCTTTCTTCTTTGTTTAGAGTCACTATTTTGAATGTGACTGTGATGAAGCGTTTAAGCAAACGTGAAACCATTTTTGCAAAGCATTTATAGTCTTTTGACTTTTGACAGAGGCTATAAATAGAAGCAAAATAATTTCCTCAAACATTTTTTTGTTATCGTGTCTCAGAAATGGCATATCCCTTTTGAATAACATGTTATACAGTATAGTATGCATAAATATTACACTACAATGCATTAAAATAATTTTATATATATCTATTATATATATCTCCAGTATGTGTGAGTTTGTATTGAGAGTTTGTGTTGTGCTGTCTATTGTTACTGTAAAGTTAAATTGGCCATTTCTGAGACAGCTTTGGTTTCAAAAAAAAATGGTGCCCTTTGACTGATTAGTACTAGCAAATAAGCAACAAAATGTGGCTCTGAAAACAATAACACTGAAGAAATAATACTCTAATTTGATGTACAGTCTATGGCACTTCATGAGAATCCTTAACAACATGGTACTTAAAGCCATGATGTGCTTTAAAATATACACAGTTGTGGTTTTGCTTGGCACATTCATCTCTGTCAGATCCCTCCCTCACCACGTCTTACAATCTATTACATTAAAAATATTACTCTTAAACAAAAATGACTGTGCATGCACGCTCTCATCTATAATGGCAATTTTAAATACAAGGTGCACCTTTGTTATTTGTAAACCTTGAAAGAAATAAACTTAGTTTTAAAAAATTATATCTTGGTCTACAGACGTACCAATACATAATAGAATCATGGTTACACCATAGTCTGTCTTTTCAAGATGGCATGAATATATAGGAAACTAATTAGGTATGCATATTTTAATGCATAACTCTGTGCTAGAAAAGAAAGACGATGTTGTTCTTTTAGACAGGAATATCACCTCAGCACAAATATTAATTAAATGTACAAAGTGTATAGGCAACAGTGTGCAGTGGGTTTCCATGTTGTCTTTTCTTCTGGTTAACATGCAATATGTGGATGTCTTGTGGCTGAGGGACTTGTGTGTGTGTTGCTTGACGGTATATACAATATGGCTAATGACTTCTTCCTTTACTCTAACCAAGCACACTGTCCTTTCCTCTTTAGTATGATCTACAAGGGAAAAAGAGATAATCTTGGTTAAAACCGAAAACAACTAAAGCAGCTTCAATTATAATTTAATCTGAACATTTTCTTTCCTGGTTAAATTCTGTATTCACATATATGGTATCATATCTTCATACAAAAACAACAACCACTTCATAAGTGAAAATGTATCTAAATTTGTCTATCATGGCAGTGAAATGACTTGTACAGCTTTATACAATTATACACTCAGCTGAAAAATTTTCCGGGCCAGGTATGATGGCTCACACATGTAATCCCAGCACTTTGGGAGGCCGAGGGTAGGGGATCACTTGAGCCCAGGAGTTCTGAGACCAGGCTAGGCAACACAGCAAGACCCCATCTATATATTAATATAAAAAAAAAAATTAGCCGTGTGTGGTGGCATGCACCTATAATACCAGCTACTTAGGAGGCTGACGCAGGAGGATCACCTGAACCCAGGAAGTCAAGGCTGCAGTGAGCTGCGATCATGCCACTGCACTCCAACTTGGGCAAGAATGAGACACTGACCCCCAAAAAACAATTAATTTTCTAATACTAAGCCACAAGTATAAAATACATTGCAGAATCAAAGAGCATAATATAGTAAGCTGGTTTTTATTCACACCATTGCTGTGGGGCAAAATTTTAACTTTATTTCTTTCCTTCAATAGGTTTCAAGAGTAAATATTTGGCCTACAAAATTAAAACTACGTAACAATCCTATTAAACAAGATTCATTCTGTTTGGATTCTTGTTTAGCATAGTACGTGTTTGGGGAAAAAAAAGAATGACACTTAAGTGACTGTTTTGATAATTCAAATTTTGTGGGTTTTTCTCCTCCTAAAAGCAAGAAAAATAAAAATCATTCTTTATGAATTAAGGAACAAGTCCTCATAAATTAAATTTTAATAGATATTATTCTGGTCATTTGGCACTATTGTCTTCAACCTGTGTTATTCCTAAGAAATAGAACTTAGCACGAGTTACATATACACATGCCCACCAAACATAATCAGCTGACTACAAAAGCTTGAAACAGATTTTTTAACATGGCAAAAGAGAAGTCGTCTTCCAGACTTACACTATCAAATTGTGTGCTTATCCTGAAAATGTGGCTATTGTTCAAAATCATTGTGAACCTTTTTATTGGAACTGCTTTGAGAGCTTATGAAATAGGCAAAAATCAATTTCAATAATTTAACTCATGATTGCAGCACGTCTTTGGCAATACTTCTCTGACTGAGTCTATCATTTCTTTCTTGAATGGCTCTCAATTTCAGCCTATCCTTTGCTCCTCAATGGGCTCTGCCTTTGTCCAGCTTTTGCGATCAATGATCATCCCAAGGGCCCCTGAACTGGTTTTCTGCCACCAATGCCTCCTGATTTGGTACACTGTCCCCTTATCTATAAGACCCTTACTCCTCCCTTCTCTATAGAACATCTCCATTGTCCAAATTCACTTGTTTTCTGACTCTGATGGAAGAGCTGCTCCTTCATCTTTGCTCCAAGAGAAATGTACTCAAACCTGTCTTACTTTAATATATTACCCTGATACTGTTTCCATCTTTGTCTTACTGTCTGTTCATTTTTATCTCATTAACTTGGCGACTAACACAAAGTAGCATCAAAAACTCATCTGGAAATATGTTTAAAAATGAATGAAAGGAAGTACCAAAGAACAGTCCCCCATCTTACCAGATTCAGTTTTAAATGTCATGGCCCTTTCTAAATATGAAATTAGGTACCTAGCATGCATCTGAGCACAAGTTATAACTTGAATGCATACATACTGGACAAAACATATTCCCTAAGGATGAAAAGTGGGCATTTTTACAAGTACTTCCGACAATGCTTGTAAAGGCAAAACAGAAAAATTTTAGACCATTTTTGAGCAATGACATTTCCAGAATTATATGATCCTCTAAGATAACTGTTCTGAAGTACCTAACATTCATTTGAATATGCAGATTTGTGTCTGCACATCTACATGAGTATGTGTCAGATTCATTATAATCTAAAGACTCTGTGTATGGTGATGCGTAGGATGAGGTAGGTATATCTTCTTATTTAAGATTTAGCTAAAGCATAAAAAAATAAAATAAATGATGATCTGCACTAGGGGCAGCCAGGCTCCATCCTGCTGGCCAAATCTGACCTACTGTCTATTTTTGGAAATAAAATTTTATTAGAACACAACCACACCCATTTGTTGACATATTATCTTTGCTCTCGTGCTATAATGGCAGAGGTAAGTAGTTGCAACAGAAACCATATGACCCACACAGTCAAAAATATTTGCTATATAACCCTATAAGAAAAAGTTTGTCAACCACTGATGTATGTCTTCTAATTACTTTTAAGTCACATATTTTCTTTAGGCTTATGTTTATTTCTAATGCAAAATAAAAAACAAAATGTATTTCCCTTAGTATTCTGTATATTTTAGTGATATTAACATTTATTATAAATTTGTCTTATAAGATTCCTCATAACTCATTGGGGATAAAAATGTGAGCTGTACATCAATATTTTCTCCAAGATCTTATAATATTTTAAGTGCACTACAGCACTGCTATCTTAAAACCAGGCTGCAAATATACAACTATATATCACAGAATGAACTTACTGTTTAGTGATGAGAATTCTACATCTGGGTAACATACTTGTGGCTAGTCAGATGTTCGGCAGATATTATGGGTATCTAGCAAATAAAAAATTATTTAATGAATGATCCATGCAAGCAAGCCAACAACCGAGAGATGAAAACATTTAATATTAAATTTTTAAAGAAAAGTGAAATTCAGCTGTGAGGTGATAATCCTTATCTGGTCAACATAATAGTAAGTTAATGTAAATTTAAACGCCAAAGTAGCAACTAAATTTTTCAATCTTCATGTTAAATACTATTCTATAAATGTTACCAGTTTTTAAGAAGTAAGAGAAGTAAAACTACCAAAAATTCATGCAGAGCAGTAATTGAAAGAAGCCCTTTTTGTTGGCCTACACACACACACACACACACACCCCTGTGGTTTCAGTTACTTAATAATAGGAAATGTCTATTTTTGTGCAATCAAATTTCTAACATTTTCGGTCAAATTAGAGTATCTAACTTTTTCCAAATTAAACATACCATGTAAGAATTATAAAGCAGTAATTCAAAAGAACTAAATAAGAGCATGAGTTTACTTCAGAACATATTTCTGAATTCTGATGGCACATTTTATTTTATTTTAAATGGGCAAGAGAATCAGAGAACTTGAGAGAAAATACAATAAGAAACCAAAATAGAGGTGACTTATTTCAGTAGTCCCTAAAGCCAAGAACTTAACAAATTTGCAGCTTGATTCTTCTCCACACCCAAATTAATGGCTGCTAACCTGAGAGAGGCAGCACGATAGATGGAAACTATTAGAGGACTGAAAGCATGGGCTCTACCACTAGGATCTACTTCCTAGCTGTGTGACCTTAAGCTAAGCAACAAATTCCTCTATACTTAAGTTCCTTCTGTAAAGTAACACTAATCCCATTTCTGCAAGGTCGATGGGAGAAGAAAGAAATCATATACATGGCATTTTGCTGTTGTTGCTTTAATTTAAACAACCTAGACTAATTCAACATATTACAATCCACAGTCTGGCGTGTATATTAATATGTCCTTTTTAAAAAAATTTTTCAGTTCTCAGCTGACATTTTTACACAATTTTACAGCATTGGCAAATGGCACGAAAATGTGCTCCAAGCATAATGAAGCTTCTCATACCATTTTTCCTGCTGCTGCAGGACAGGATGTTGCACCCAACAGTGTAGAAGCATCAAGGATGGGGCTGTCGAAACATACCAAGGACCTTCAACACCAATCGATGCAGATGAAGGGCCAGCTATCAACTTCTGCATGCATGCAGGCTGCATTTTGTGGCATCAGCTATTTCCAGCATTGCTAATGTACTGTAGGCATATACATATGTATGTATATGTAGATATAATATATGTGTGTATATATATATCCATTCCTTTTTCTTTCTTTTGGTTGTAAAATAGTATGAAGACCCAAGATTATGCATGAAATGGTCACAGCACAATGCAAAAAGTAAAGTGTCCCCTACAACCCAGGTGGCCGAGGGCATGTTGAAATTTGCTCTGCTAGAGTTCTGTTTACACCAGCAATTCTACAGTCATACAAGGTTCACACATGAGAGATCAGGATCAATCTGCACCATAAATGGATGGTATTGAATCCATGAAGATATTTCTACCAAAGATTACTTACTAACATGCCACATATGCACAATCTAGTATTCTTGTAAATGAGTCTGATGTGTTAGCATAAATCCAGAGCTATTTTGACAAGCTTCTGAAAAATGAATGAGTTTTTGCCAAGAAATGTTTAAAGCCTGACTGAAACTTTCAAATAAATCCATTTTGGCATTCTGATTTGGAAATTTTTTTAATGGCTATAAAAATAACTGAAAGTTTTTCATCAACAGTACATGGTATATTATAGAAACAAGGGAGGCTATTCCTTATAGTAATAACTACAAGTTCCGATGGCTCTTAATTGGTCTTCTCTTCCCAAGGGGGAACATGTTGAATCCCATTTGATATATCTTTTGAGATTCACTTGGCTACATTTAACCTTGGTCTATGGGTTATCTGAAATGTGATTTGGCTCTAAATTTTTTCATATAGTATCAACTCTATTGAGCTTTGCTTTCATAACGTGTGTATGTGTGTGCATATATATATATATTTTTTTCAAGCTCAAACATACTTTATATAAATGGTACTTTAATCAAAACAGTATTCAGAAAATGTTGGTTTAATTAATGTCAATAAATATTTTAAATAGTTATTTAATTTTAAGTAGTTACTTTTGTATATCATAAAATTTAAATTTATGAAACACATCCCTTTTACTTAAAAGTATCCTGTATAATGGTTTCCCTATAAATTTGTATGGAAAACAGAATAACTGTCAATTTACCATACTTGATTTTTTTTTCTTCTCCATAAATCTCTAACATTTATGTAAAGTAACTACATAAGTAAAAATAAGAACACTTAGGATTTTTTTTTTTTACTTTAAGTATTGAGAATGAAAGCTTACAGATGCTGTATACAAACAATTTATTTTGAATAAGCAATCTGCTTATCAAATCAATTAATATATAATGAATTCATAAACTCTATTTACAAGAGTGGTCATTTGTGGCATATATGTAAAATGCATTGAAATATTTTGCTTTTTATTAAGCATTTAGGCAAGAACTGAGAAACTGCATATACTAGATGTTTTAAATAAAATTGCCTATATTTTTGATTGGTCAAAATACCTGGACGATGGATTGAGACCAAATGAGAATTGCTTGTGTAAATATCATTTTAGTAGCTTCAGAAATGGAGCTGCGACAACTTTGGAGCACTTATAAATGGCATAAAAGCATTCTGCTGCTCATCATAGAGAGAATGTGTAGGCCAACAAGAGGTATCTTTGAAACCCCATGCTTATTAAAGCACCCTCTACAGTCCTCACGTACACACGACTCCCACTGACCTCAATGGGAAATCCACGTGCGTAAGGGCTGTTGGATTGAGCCCTATTAGAGCTGGTTTTTAAGAAACAAAGCTGTAAATTAGCAAACCTGGTTGGCTGTGGCTGTTGCAGCGAAGGGAACACTTGTGGCAGATGTTGTTGCTGCGGACACAGTGGCTGGCGTAGCACCGTGCACCATGGGAACTTTCGGAGGGAAAATCATATAAGCAAACATACAGAAGAGTGTAGCAATATGGAAACCATGGCAACATGGAGGAGATAATTGGGCATGGTATTTATCACAGCAATAAGCCATGTGACAGGACATCATCACCAGCGAGTGACATGCAATCACAGCGCAAAGCAGGACAACATTCCAAGGAGAGAAGGGGAAGGGGGATGAAAGAGAAAAAAAAAGGGGAAAAAAAGCTTGTTACCATCAAATCAAGAAAATTGACACAAACAGGCTTAATTTGCTAAGTCAAAAACAAGAATTTTATATAGTGTTCACAATCAGACATTCAAAATCTAAGTCAAATACAGGTATTTACTTCATATATACAGTTATCTGCTTGAATGAAAGTATTTTTTATTTACTTATTATAAAATATACAGTATATTACTTTTATAAAATAGATTTTTTAAAATACACACCAGAACTCATAGTCCAATCAAAATCCACCAGAGGTGACTAAAGGAAACTGTTGTGTAAAGAAAACATTTATGTGAGTCCATGTCAATTAAATAGAAAATGGCATTTAATTGACAGGTGTTAGTAAAAGGGAAATGGACTTGCCCAATAGATACAAGTTAAACTTAGCAGTGGATTTTGAGGGGCTGTGAGGTGCACCATAGGTTTAAGATAATCAAGAAACAAAGCTGGCACCTACCAACACTTGTAGCGGGTGTCATGCACAATATTGAGCCTGCCCATCATGCATTGCAACAGGAAGGTGGATTTGAAAAGGGAAAAGAATTAAAACATCCCATCACACGTGTAATTAGGAAATTCATTTGAACAAAGGAGAAAAATTGTTATTATGGGAACAGTGGCATGTAACTGTCAGCACAATCAAATCATACAATAGCACAGTGATCAATTAGAACTAGTCTCAAGTGAAGAATAAAAGCCAGTTGAACTGTGTGCTGGTACACTTTGTTTCTCTTAATTGCTGCCTATAAATAAAAGTATTTTGAAAATAATTTAAACCCACTTAATTCTTTCTAAAATAATATTGTAATTTGTTTTGTTTTAATCTGGTTACTAACCATCTGGCTACTTTGCTATTCCTGACTTTAACTTACAAAAGTATTTGTGTTTTCTTTGTAGCTTGAGCACATGTAAAATAGAGTTATTATTTATTATTAAAATGCTAAATAATTCAATGCACAAAACTGACTCAACAATATAATAAAACCCAAACATTCGTTTTCACTCCTTTGGTTTGATTTTGCTGTTCATTGTAGCAGCAACCACACAGACATGGAAGGGGTTGTGATCATTCACACAGGATTTTTATTTGGAGAGATATGAAACAATAAATTATGCATTAAAAAGTGAAATTTCTGCATTTCCTTAGTTTGAAACTAAAATGTAGGAAAGCATTAAGAAGGAATACAATTTCTTATGAGTTTCTAATTGTTTACTGGTGGGTATCAAAACCTGTTTTCATTGCTAGTTTAGACCCTCAAGACTTCATGGAGTAGCAAATGTTCTACAAAACTTCACATACAAGAAATTGCTAATTAGAGTTCAATAAAAAACCTTGAGTGGGAGATAATGAAGATACATACATCATATATGGAGTGTTAGCACTAATGTTCACAATTGTTCCACCATGATGAGTAAAAAAAAAAATGTTACATATATAGTCCTTGTTCTCTTTGACATGTAAATATTGTGAATTTAACTTATTTTATTGAGTTCAGGGCTTGTTCCCGTATGAGAACTACTGTTCTTTCTACAGGATTATTTTAGAATTCGAGGTTTTAAAATATCAAATGATTTTATATTTCTATCTACATGGCATATCCTGTTTAAATACTAGCAACATCTGGGATGAACATTTGTTAGAAAAATATCTGCCAAGTGAGTTGTGTCAGAGAGGGCCCTACAAAACAAAGCTGCCATTGAGAAACTTAACTGAAACATGGATTGCTTAACTGGTGTTCCAGTAACAGCTGCAATTAGTCTGTTATCACAATTAGACTGTGGGCACAATGATCAATGACTAAACCCGGTAAAGGAGCATCCTCTCAGGTGGAGAGACATTGACAAGCAATTGGACACTTGAAGATCCCTGTCATTTGCTACGACTACTGGGTCAAAGACTTGTGAAAAACAACAACAGAAACAAGCCAGTAATAACAAAGACGTTAATTTGAGACAGTAGGGCAAGCCAAATTTAATACTGGAGCTACATTTTGTGACACCGTTACCCTCTCAGTGGTAGGGTGAGAGGATTGGAAAAGAAGAGGTCAATGGGAAAGAATAATGTGATATTTAAGGAATATTAAAGACAGTTTATTGTACAGGTTATATGTTTTAAATGATTATTTATTATTATGCTGCAATTTGCCTACTATATTTCATCCCATGCATAATTAAGCCTGCACATGCTGAAAGTGAGTTAATTTTACATCATCTCTCTAAAACCCTAAAGCTTTTATGGTCTGAAATTTAGTTTGAGTTATCTTCCTCATTACCATTATAACCAATGCACACAGTTTTGAGAGGGATTTGCAGCAAATAAACATAAGGTAGCAATGAAAATACTAGCCAGGGTGCAATAACTCACAAATATGAAGACATAATGCTGTAGGACCCACTTACCAAAAGCAAAAAAAATCACTCTTGAAATGACCAGAATATCCAGCTTTACTTCAAATGGGAATTGACTAATAATAATGCACAGATAGCCAACTGAATTCTTTTCCTCAGTCTTTAGCACAAAGCAAAATTTAAATGATTGTATTTGTCAATTTCCAATTTCCCCTACAAAAATATTTGCAGAGCAGAATGCTGTGTTTCTAAGAAATGTGTTATTTTAATGACATGACTTTTAAAATTAAATGTTTAAATTGATATGTATGAAGATGCAGGAAAAACAACTAGGATGGTAATTTACAAACAAGATGTATGCATAGTTAAAATTACTTGAAGTGGAAGGAAAAGAATAGAACAGAAAAAGAATAATAATGGAGACTTGGTTGGTAGTTGGATTTTGATGTGATGATTTAATTCTTAAAAGTTAAAGTACAGGGTCACTTTTTAAATCTAGCTGATTGGCTTGTCACTGAATGCTGATTTTTACCAGCAATTATGTCCATATATATAGTCACCTGCTCTTAGAATTTAGTCAACCATGCTTCACTGTAACTTGACTAAAACATATCTACATATCTGCAGTTATGATTGAAGCAACAGATGACAAAACTCTAAAGCTCTGAACTGCAAAATATAAAAGAATTCCATTTTCCTTCTAGTCCCAAAAAAAGTCTTCAGAGTATACCTTTCAAACTATCATACTATGGACAGAGAGGATACTTTGATCACAGAACTATTCTGTACTACATGTCTGCAGAATAACCTAAACTTTGGAAATGAACTTCCTTTTCTCCCAGGTGTTATACATAAGATTACATATGGATTTGTGGTAGGAAGGATTTCCTTTAGTTCTCAAAGGGTGTTTTGTAAAAATTGAATTAATTGCTGAAATTTAAAAATAGAGAAATTTCACATATAAACATACAAATATCCAGAATATCTGGGGAGGGAGGTGGATTATAGGACCTAGTGACACTGTACATCAGTGTTAGGTTGTGCACATTTGTAAATGACCCCTGGGAAGCACAGACATGACCAACCCTCATTTAAACAGACTATGATGTAAATGGAGACACAAAAGTTCTCGTAGGGTGCAGCAGGAACAACCTGCCAGGCAGATATTCCTCTGGCAAAAAAAGGCTATGTCTGATACACTGACTATCCCCTTCAGACTGGGTCAGTGTTCCCCAGTGCCTCCCAGATCCCACAGCTCCCAATTTATTTCTTGTTTCACTTGTGTTTCCTACCTGGCCTCCAAGGTGTTTGAGTTTACATTCTCTGCATTAGACTTCTTTCCTTTCTGACTGTCTGAAAAAGTTATCTGGCAGAACTAAAGATAAGCTATTCATTTTCCTGTCATAGGGTACATTTTTGTGCACACAGGCACATATACAATAATGAAAATATTCTTAAAGAATCATGGAGGCAGTACCTACTTCTGCTTATGTGATTAATACAGGACAACCTGCAGCTTCAGCCCCTTAAACCTGGTTTGCAAATAAATGTTATTTTATATTACTACTGCAACAGTTTCATATGATATTAATTATGTGTGAGAGATACTGATCAAGAACAGAATATCTCTGATGCAAAATGCATTGTAAAAAATGCAAATGTCTTAAATTTTCAGCATATTTCAATATAGTAATGCAGATTGTATTTAAATTAGTAATGCTTAACTTTCTAAAACAGAGGGACAAGTGTAATTTTGATTTATGAATGCATTTACGGTTTTCCCCAAATTGACCCTTACCTAGCATGTTTCACTCTGTCCACAGACTAAAAGCTATTCTAGTGAGAGGGTAGAGTCACAAATAATGGTCAGATCTACCCTGCAACTAACTGATTTAGAAAAAACTATAGTCATTTGAATGCTGTTGAAGAAAGAAATACAAAGATTGATAAGATACGTTATTTTGGGTTTCTTGAAATAATATACAAAAGATAGATTTGTTTTAATTTTAGATTTTAAGTAGGGGAACTTGTCTTTTCTTTTTTTTTTTGATTTGGAGTCTCACTCTGTCGCCCAGGCTGGAGTACACTGACACACTCACAGCCATTGCAGCCTCAACCTTCTGGGGCTCAGGTGATCCTTCTACCTCAGCCTTTTAAGTAGCTGGAACTGCAGGCACATGCCACCATGTCCAGCTAATTTTATTTTTTTTTAATTGTAGAGAGGCGGGCTCGCCAAATTGCTCAGGCTGGTCTCAAACCGTGGGCTTAGGCAATCCTCTCACCTCAGCCTCCCAAAGTGCTGAGATTATAGGCATGAGCCACCAAGCCCAGCCCAAACTGTCATTTCTAATGGTAATGTTTTATCCAATGAAATGAATCGACACAAATAATTCTTAATTTCTTCAGTGAGATTATAGTTACCTGTAATCTCTTGAAACTGACTCATAATCTGACTATAGAAAAACTGTTGGATTGTTTGTTGGAGACACAAAAATCTAGGGACATGGTGACTTACACAAAAGCAAAATGATTAATTTCTGAAAGTTTCTGAAAAACTATATATGTTGAAAAGAAACTTACAATAACCTAAAACATAAGAGAAATGTAAATTTTCTTTCTGAATGCAATGAATACATTATGGATCAAAATGATTTAATTTTTATTCTAATATGGACAAACAGCAATTTGATAGATACTATATCTTGAGTACAAATATTTCATCATGGTGCCTGGGACATAGGCTATTTCAACTAGTGGACTATTCTAGTTAATTAAATGCTATCTCATATTTATTCTACATATAGATGACTGGTTTTCAAACATGCACTATATAAAAAGTTGTGTTTAGCAATAAAAACTAATGTATATATAATTTATTCTTTTGTTCATGAATCAAAAATAAATCATCACATTCTCTCATAGCATTATGAATTTAAAGCACTGTAAGTACTGACAATATAGTATTAGGGGCTAACTTTTTGGCACATATATCTACTCATTAATTTAATTAGTAAAATAAAATAAAATTTTTTATTACATATATATCTGAAATCATGGTATTTTTTAAAGTAAAGGCTAAGTGGTAAAGAGGAAAGTGAGATTAGAGTGCCAGGATAGTTAACTTCTAGATTATGAGTAGTTTATATGTATTTTCTGAAATAAATTCAGAGTTAGTAAAAATAGTTAATTTCTAAGCAGTTTTAAATGAGTGGTCTGTGTTTTAAACTCTTTTAAATCCATGTGAATAATTCTAGGTTGTGTACATGTGACCAGGTTGAAAATAAACTGAACCCACAAACGTATAACTCAAGAATAAATGTAAACACTACTTAGGGTTATTTCAATATTAGCTTAGGAATGTCATAATTTTAGGCAATGTACTGACTGGTACAAATGAGAGCACTTTTTAAGAGCTCTAGAACACATAGTCAATTTTTCATTCCTGATTTTGAAAACAAAAAAGCTGAAAAATAAAAATCAAAATGGAAGGTGTCATTTCATATAATTTAAATTAATTTTACAGAATCAAGAAGGCAAAGGGGTCTTACAGCAGGAAATATCATAAAATAGCTTGACATATAACAGTGTTGAGGAAAGAGAAAAAAAAGAGAACTATATTTCAATTCCAAATTACACAAACACAAATAAATATATAAATCACCACTCATCTTTAATCTGTATTTCATTAAGCTAAAATTCTTAGTTTTTAAGGCAAACCACACGGATACCTCAAATAAGTTTCCACTACTGACCACCTTACCTTACTCCTTATCTGTGACTACAAACAAACTTGGGATGTGCTTTATCTGCTCTAACAGTAGGTCTCTAAGTGGATCATCTGATTCATGGATGAACCAACCCCACTCTCTTACCTGGTGGGAGAAATGCTGTATGCTGTTGTAACTGCATGTTGGCTAGAGCCTGTTGGTATTGGAAAATACCAGTGTTAAAGACTGCGGTGGCACCGTTGGTTTTTTCAAGAGCAGGCCTCTTTGGTAATGGGGGAAGTACAGCTTGAGGAATTCCCTGTTTAGTGAATGAGTATAAAAAACAAATACCAGTAAAAAGAGAAAAAGAAAAAAAGAAAAATCAGTTGAAGGCTAAAATTGTTAGGAAGCATGAGCAAGCAAGCTGCAGAGCACTTAACTACCCAAGGGGGAAAAAAATCCAATGAACAAAAAAATTAAGGAAAAAAAAAGCAAGATAAAAGCTTTAAGGGAAGCATTATTTTTGTTCAAAACAAAACCCCACTAGTATGAGAGCACATGTTATAATGTGTTAAAGTGTTTTATGTCCCATAATGCTTCAGGCTTTCTGTGAGAAGCCATTGATTTGGGAAAAGAAGAAAAGCCTCGCACTGCGCGCTCCATGAGGATTGACAAGTATAAGCAATGTTAATAGTTAATTGTACAGAGTGACCAAAACAGGTAAAATAAAAACTAACCCCACTCTGCTCCCCACCCATCTACCTAGACATGCAAATGTCCCAGAGCATGCAAGTTTTTTTTCTTAAATACTGAGCTATAAATATTAAAAAGTAAATAATTCTAACACTAAAGCCATGCTAACCAAACAGGTACATAAATATACAGTCAAAAATACATTTTCAACGTCCTCCAAGTATTTCTTTAGAACATTCTACAATGTAGTTAAACTGAATGTGGGCTGCTGGGCTTTCAGAATCTTTCACTGTATGATATCCGTCTGTGTAGTTATATTATAGTCTTTCCACTAATTTTGTCAGGAAACCACACTCAGTTTTTCATTGTATTTTACAACTTTAAAAAACAGAAAAAGGAATATATATTTTAAAATTGATTAAAAAAAACTTGTATCTACAATAAAGCTACATGCCAAGCTAAAAGGTGAAAGGTCATAGTACCAGGTCAAAGGTTGCCTCGAGGGGTCGCTTCAGTGATTTGACAGCCGACTGAGTCTTAATTAGCAGGCAGCGAGCACATGATGGCAATGGGCCAGTGGGGTTCAAGCGCATTAACATAAACAGCAAGCAGAGGTGCATCATGGGGGCAGCAGTGCATTTTTGGGTAGGTGAGAAAAAACAAATAAAAAAACAAATCATCGGAATGCCATATACAACGAATAACAAGACTAAGCATGCACAATAAAGGCACTACTGAGTTGTTATTGGGAGGATAACTCCTCTTTGTAGTTAATTACAAACAAGATACTCTAACAGAAAAAAAAAAGAGTGAAAGGAAGAGAGGAGGAGAGAGTCTGCCTTCTGTATTTTTGCTCAAGTATCCATAACAAACACAGAAAAGATCTCTCTCGTGATCATCTCACTGTGCTATGAAATACGACACAGTGGCTTTTCATGAATATTTTAATGCTTAAGTCATATACTCATGTAAAAAGAGGACAACATTAAACAGCTAAGCAAAGAACAGAGAATGGACTCATTAAAATCAGCTATTAGATCACATTAAAGTTTACCTTGAGAATATAGTTTAGAATCTATTCTAACTTCTATTCTAACTCTATCCAATTTCTAACTCCTCAATTACTTCTGTCTTTTTCCTTTCTATATAATGGCATAGTCAAGCTTCTCTGATTTTACTATTATGTTTATGCCACAATATTATTTCAGACAATCTAGATAGCATGCTAGCCAAAATCTTGTAGCTAATTCTAAAAACAATTTTGTTGAAGCAACTCTCCTAAATAGTTCCAGATTATGCTACTGTTAAAAGCAAGATATACATAAAGAAGAGCCTTGATGTGCAAAAGAACACACCAAAGGAAAACAATGGCTGATTAGATGGCACACAGAAATAAGAAGACCGAAAATGGCAATATCGTTAAATTGAAAAGGAGACAGGTGGTTCTTTACGAAGCAGAGATTTGAGAAACCCTACATCCAGAATAAGACAGATTATTGAGTTAGGCCAAGAGTAGAAGCAATCTGAGCCATTTGAGGAGTTACCCTCACTTCTGTGAATGGTAACTTCTTTATGTATTGTCTGGGATACCTGAACAAACATATCTTCAGCAAAAATTTTTTTAAAAAAGGTTAATAAATGAATAGCTTGTAGTCAGATATAGTTGCTCACTTGGCTTCTCTGACTGCTAACAAGGAGAGGGCGGATGTCTCTACTTACCATGGCAGCTGCAGTGGCTGCAGCCTGTGCTGCTGCAGCCTGGTTGACCTGGTATTGGGCAGCCTTGATCTTGGCTTGCAAATGTGCAGGGGGATGGAAGTATTTGCACTTTTCCCGAGAGCATCTCCCTTTGATGTAATCCATACACACAGTGACTGTGTTGTCATTGGTGTCAATCATTGTGCTGTCAGCAGGATGAGCAAACCGACAATCGTTTTCTCCTCTGTTGCAATTGCCACGCTGGTACTCTCGACATACCTATGAGGTCATTAAGTGCATGGGGTTTAGTCAACATGAACAAGTAGAATCTTTCTAAAGATTTTCACTAGAGGTAGAGGTTCCAAACTGGTGTTATAAGTCTACAGATGAAAGGGGAAAATATAATTTGTAAACAATGCAAGAAAATAACTCCAGCAACACCTAGTTCAATATACAAATTATAGCCTCGTTTCACTAAGATGCCCATGAGAAAGAAAATGCATTTATGATATTAATGATAGTAAAACATCCAATCTAAAATTATATTGATATACTTATCAATTACTAAGGGGAAAATAGTAACTTTACAGTGAAGAAACCTGGCAGACACTACTTTAGCCAAGTGATCAAAATTAACCTTGCCAGTGATGAGACAATGACATCATGTACCTATTGATATGACTCAGTGAGAAGGGCACAAAAACACTGTAGTTGTATTACGGCCTGAATTTAATCATGAGGAAACAGTAGACAAACTGAATGGAAGGATGTTTATAAAATAACTGACCAGCACTCTTCCAAAGTGTCAAGGCCATGAAAGACAAAGCTGAAACACTGTCATAGACTAGACAGTCCTAGAGTCAGAGAAAGGATATTGGTAGGACAACTGGCAAAATTTGATTAAGGTCTGTAGATTGGCTAATAGCAGCATGTCAATGCTAATTTCCTGGCTTTGTAAGAGATACTATGGTTATAAAAGATGTGAATATTTAGCTCAGCAAAGGGTAGACAGAAACTCTCGTTTCTATTTTGGCAACTTTTGTGTAAATCTGAAATTATTTCCAAGTGAAAAGTAGAAAAAAAATCAAATTTGATAGCTTTATACTAAAATGTTTCCAAGAGTTCTTTTTTGATCATTAGAAATTCATTTGGTAGCTTCATAAAGCAGGAAAAAAATTAATTTTTATTATTGTCTGTTTGCTTCATATCTGCTAGTTTTGCCATGGGGATCCTAGGGAAAAGGTGAAAATGAATTATTTCTCATTTGATTGTTCAATTTTGACTTTTAGTAATACATTTTCTTCATTTGGAATAGTTTGACCTTTTTACCACAAGAGGGCCATCTAAAACACAGAATGCCCTTTTCATATTTCTGTGCTCCTACTTCAAGCTTCAAGGAAATAGTTTTTAGTTTTCAAGTATCTTTTCACAACCTGACCAACTGCAGACACTGAGCACTGTATTTTGGAGTTAAGCAAGAAAGAGAAACAGTTACCTCGCTATAGCTTTAAAAGCAAAGGTTTTCTTGGATTTATATAAATAAAATGATTGTATTTAACTTTAAGTGTTTTCCCCCTATTACATTCATATCCTATTATTGAGGAAAGTGCTTCTTAAAAGAAGGACTCTATAATGTGTACCATGCTACATCTTAAAAAGAATGTTATAAATGACATCTTGCAGTATTTGGAAGCCTCCAGCTAGCCAAAGTTTTGTATTCCAAATACACACAATGAGTCAACACCATTCATTACCTTATTCAATTTATCTAATTTAAAACATTTATTGAGATGTACCAGACACTTCGAGAGATACTAAGAATACAAAGATGATGCTATTTAATATTCTGTTTTTTATTATTGTATTCACTACATTGACCAGAAGCAAAAAAAGTATAACCCAGAGATTATAGTATAAAAAGCAAAAATGATCAAGCTGTTATCCAGATAATTATTCTTCTTTCTGGTGGAATCAGTTGTGGAGCTTTCTAGAACACAGATTCCCAGTATCTAACCAAAATTACCCTGAGGTTCATCACCATAGCTAGGAAGAGAGACACATCTACATTAAATGAGAATAAGATGCTTTACATACATATGTAAAATTTATGCTAAATATACACTACAGCATAAACTACAAGGTTATTTTTCTGCTTCAGCAAATCTATGCCAATGTAGTCTCATCCAATAGGAAAACTGCAGAAGGTCCATATGATATCTCTCATGACTGTTTTTTAGCTTTTCAGTAATTCCTGCTTTCTTAAATTTGATCAAAAGGAATTGGCAGTAGGAGAACTAATACTTTTTCAGTTTAACTTAATCTTTATTTTCTTGTGGAATAGAATTAGGAAGAATTTTAAAAATATTTAAGCAGAATTGACAACTAAGAACTAGCTTAGAATGTATTCTAAAACCAACCTTTTGTGAGGTTACAAAGAATTAGTCAACTGCTTTTGCATGATAGCATTTTTGATTGTTTCATATTTTTATTTTTTTCCAGTTTGAGGTTTCTTCTGACTTAAGGAATAGGACAAAAAGAATATACTGAAATAGTACTCTCATATTATTCTTGCTCTTTGGTCTGGTAAGAGTTATTAGGCCAGAAGGGATGGAAAAGTGTTAGATGTGCTGCTGAATTTTGGGGTTTCCATCTGAACAGAACAAATTTCCCAAAGCTTCTAAAACACATTTTTCTCTAATAGTCACCATCAATAAAATGGGATCTCTCTCTTCAATGCGGAATATGGGTTTGGCTTGTTTTCTCTGATAAACTCAGGAAATCTTTTTTACCTTAGCAAATTATAATCGACAAACAAAATCTCAACACATTTAATCTCATAATTCAATCAGGATAAGAAATGATAAAATTTATCAAACAGAGAATTTGGAACACTGAGGCAAAATTAAGTCTGAAAATCCTAGCAACAATACGGTTCATTTTCCCCTTCTCATCCAGTCTTTGGTATGCATACATTTTAAAAATAGTTGTAATTATAGTACAGCTACTATTTGGTGACTTTTTTGCTCAACAATACAGCATAAGTTTTTTCTCACATTGCTAAATGGTGTTCCAGAGTGATCACTTTTGATAGCTGTATCACATTTCATCAAATAGTGTACATAACACAGATGAACTCTTTTAGAGGACAGTTAATTTCTAACATTCTCATATTACAAATAATATTGCAAATGATATATTCACGACAACTGGCATTTTTATCATTGTTAAAGGATAGATGTGCAGAAAAGAGCATTTCTGGGTCAACAGATAAAAACATTTTCTTATAGTTTGGTAAATGGTTTCCAAATCTAAATTAAAATATCAGATCTATTGAGCTATTCAAGAAGAATATTCAGTCTTTTACTCTACAAATAATAAAGCAAGATTTTGTAAATCAGACAAGTTTTATAAACCTGCATACAAAGTGGTTAAGAAATTGCTTTTATAATAAAAAGGAGCATTTCAATGAAGATATTCACTGAAAACATGTAAGTTCCAAATTCAATTTCCAGAAAAACATCTAGGGAATAATTATATATTTTAAATAATCCAAAGAAAACATAATCATAAAAACTTCCCAAAGAAATGTGAATTAATTCTAACTAACCCTTCTTTTGTTAACTAAGTAGCAGTGATTCAGTGGAAGAAGGATACAGTCTTAAGTCAGAAATTGGTCCTACCACTTTATTTGCTATGGAATCTTCATAATAAAAACACTGTTAACACCAATTTTAAAAGGTCATAAACACTGAATAAAACAATGCATGGCTTATAACACATGTACAGATTTGGTTAAAATAAACACTTCGGCTATTTGATCTCTTTTTTTTTTAGAAAGCAGAATTTACTGAGAGGACAGAAAAGTTCCCACAGTGGGAGGAGACCTGAAAAGGTTGCCCTGATCTCTAATTTTTTAAAACATGACAAATATATTTCAAAATGATCCAAATAACACAATAGAATTTGTAAGTAGTATTAAATTCAGCAACACTCTGCAAGTTAAATCATTGGGATTCTAAGGGCGTTAATGTTAATGTTTGAATTTACTCACAACTAGAGAGTCATTTTCGTGTTCTTTAGTGAAATATACCTTTGAAGTAATATGTTTTGTGTTCACCATATTTGTACAAATAACTCAGACATCTTTGTAGAAGAACATCCAAAAGCAGGAATAGAGCGCTAATTATAACAAGGAACAAGGACTCTGTCCATTTAAATATTTTTAGAAGTCAATTTAATAGTTAATGACCAATATTAAGAAACTTATCTAAAGATATACGTGTACATTGTTCAACAATAAGCACCATGGACTTCACTTTCTATTACGTTTGACTTAGCAAACTTAATTTTTTTTTTTTTTTTTTTTGAGTTGGAGTCTCACTCTGTCACCCAGACTGGAGTGCAGTGGCCGCTCCAGGCCACTGCAGCCTCGACCTGCTGGGCTCCGGCAATCCTTCCGCCTCAGTCTTCCAAGTAGCCGGAATTACAGGCATGTGCTACCACGCCCGGCTGATTTTTTAATTTTATTGTAGAGATGAGATCTCGCTGCCCAGGCGGGTCTCAAACCGGCGGGCTCACTCACCTCAGCCTCCCAAAGGTGCGGGATTACAGGCTGAGCCACCGAGCCCAGCCAAACTTAATATTTTTAAAGTATTACTTAAAAATGTAATCCAGGATACTCAATGATTTTATCAAAGTATTGTCATGAGTTTATAACGCAAAAAACATGATCTGTATTTTCAATTTTAAAAAGGTTAAAATCTCCAGATTTAAAAATTCTGGTGATTAGGGAAAATGATCATAGTCAATTTATTATACAATTAAAACTTCCCTAGATAAATACCAGATGATGTGATTTACAGTTTCAGTTGGCTATTCAATAATTGTACAAATCTGATCCACTTTTCTCCTTCTAAAAAAGTGAACGAAAAAAATACCCTCATAGAATTTCTGTTAAGATCAAATGGGAATTTCCTTTGAAACCCAAAAGGTAGACCCCATCATTACCATTTAGGCAAGAGAACACAGCATACTTCTATAGGCAACATAAGGAAAAATTAGTCACTTGACCTCATGTAAAAAATAAAATAAAATATGAATAAATAGGAATGACCAACAAAATAATCATTAAATTTGCTTCCAGGCTGCCATTTGTCTATGACTGTAAACAAGTGTGCAAACCCAACAGGACAGGAAAGTAGATACAACTTTGAAACAAGCTCATCAATATGCCAACAAGCTCAGTTCTACTTTCTTATCTTTTCTAAATACCTTTCTAA